CTGTGCCAGGAATTTCTCTTCATGACACACACTTCCAAAGAACATAACGTGGAACACTTCATATGTTACTGTAGAAGTAGGAAGAAATGGATTCTAGTATGTGCATTTTCAGCTTTATAATAGTGAACCACAAAGAAGTATAGTTTTCTATGCAAATACATTACCTGTCACACATCTCACATGTCTTTTGAAAAATGTGCTGGGAAAGCTATTATCCTCCCCTTCCTCTGTCTATTTTAGCAAGAAATGCAGTTTCAGAAATCCTGTACAGAAACCTTTAGCTTTAGGTCCCAGGAGTTAGAATTTAAAGCAAGCCTTGGAATCTGTGTGGACCTTCCTGCCATTAATTAGTGGTGTGACTAGTACTTGTGTCCTGTGTGCCACAGCCATCCATCCTCGAGGGAATTTCCTGGTGGTGGAAGGGCTCGTTTCGACTCACTCCTTCTGTGAGCTGTCATGACAGGCTCTACTCTGTAATTCAGGAATCGTTCCATTTATTTTTATTACTGAACTCATAGTTCCAAGCTACAGACCAAAATAGTAAGCCATTCTACTTACAACTTTTCCCCTCCATCCAACGAGTAACATTTGTCAAATCCTAAAAAGTTGCCTTTACTTTCTATGACCACGTTTGCATATTTCCTGCTGGCAGCATTACGGTGGGTCCTGGGAGTGAGAACTCTAAAGAGCAAGCTCTGGCTTTCTTAGAGTTATGCATTTTCCATTGCCTGCCTACTAAGCACAACATGCCACTGTCCTGAGTGCACATGGCATGCCTTCATAATGGAGGGGCTGTCTTAATATAATTAATCCTCACAGTGACCAACCCCTTGCAGTAGCCAAATTATGTTCCTTTGATCAGTTTACAGATAAAGATGAATACAAGAGGTATTGAGTTTCTTTTGTGAAAACTATGGATCATTCAGTAAGTGCTGTGGCACAGCTAGATACGTCATCTATAAAAAGCACAGTAGGATCCTCACCCACATCTTACACTAAAATAAATTCCTGGTGAATCTAAGACATAAACATAGAAATAATGTCCCCAGGTACTAAGAAGCAAAATTTAGAAAATAAAAGGAAAATAAATCACAGACAAAAGAATAATTTTCTTAATGTAGAAAGGACTCCTACAAATCGGTAAGCAAAAGACCAACAACATCATTAATAAGAAAACTAAAAATTGAAACAACTGTGAAATGCCATTTGCACTTACCAGGGGAATTAGGAAGATAGTGACTGCTGGGCTTACCCTGAAGTTCAGATTCATTAGACCTGGGCAAAGCCTAAGAATTCACATTTCTTACAAGCTCCCAGCTACACTGAGGCTGTGGGACTGGGGCCCACACTTTGAGAATCACTGCATTAGAGAAATTGTGATTTACAGAGTTTGATGGGTAATCTGGGGCTGGAACAATGACTTGTAATTTGCTTAAATACCACAGATCAATTAACTTCATACCACTAAAAATATTATGAATGTTTAAGAAAATAAGTAATGTATATGTGACCCTTTCTTACGTGTATCTTCTCTGTCTTCTGCTTAACTGAAAATAGGGAAACACTGCTATACAGAAATTCATTATTAATCCATTTTTATCAGAACAATAACTTTTAGTGTCCTCTTGGTTTTGAAATTAAAATTTTTTAGGAAATTGGTTTAATCTATTTCAGTAAAATTATGTCTCTGTTTTAGAGAAGAATTTTATTTGAAATCTGGCTTAAGGTTGACATCAGATGGAAGCTAACCTTGTTCATTGCGCACTTCTGCCAGTGTTTACACTGCAGGTGATGAAGTAAGTTCATCAAAATGCCTTCTTTAAGGACTTTTATCCTTCAATAAAACTAGGTACGACTATCCTGAAGTCCTGAGGAAAAGGCAGTCCAGCAACATAAATTCCTCGACTTGGGTAAGGACCATGTGCGTGGTCCACAGACAGGGCCTCCACCAGCATGACACGCTTCTGATAGTCATGTGATTTCTCAGAGGATTTGCTTAAACAGAGTCTAGTTCCTAGCCTTGTACTTCTGATTCATGTGAAACTTATTTTTCTGAAACTACTGTCTTCCCCAGACGTAATAACTTATGAAAGTTTCCTGTAATCTGAGGTTTAAAAAAATGCAGATTATGAAGAAAGACTATGGAAGTATTCTAGGTTAAAGGAGACTAAAGATAAATAACAACAAAATACAATTCCTACCCCTAGACTGGACCCTATGTTTGAGGAGCAAAAATGCTATAAAAGACATTATTAGGTCAATGGACAAAACTGAAATATGCAGGGATGGACAAAAGTAAGTTTTACAGTTATACAAATAATACAATAATTAATAAATAATAATACAAGAATAAACTCTGTGTTCCGTGTACTCACAACTGTAAACGTATTTTTGCCCACCCTTGTGCATAGTACATTAGATAAAAGTTATCTATGTGAATTGGTAACCGTACTGTGGTTATGTAAGAGAATATCCCTGTTACTAGGAAATACACATTAAGTACTTAGGGGTGAAGGGCCATAGCTACACCATTAGGTACGTGGTTCAGAAAAAGATTGATTTTGTAGAGCACATAATGATAAATGGAATAGAATGTTAACATTGGGCAGATCTGGTTAAGGGGGTTACGGGAGTTCCTTGTACTATTTTTATTGTTGCAGTTTTAAGTTTAAATTCTTCTCAAGTGAAAATTTTTTTAAAAACATACAGAAAGATGAAACATGTAAGATTTAAACATTTGTTTTCTTTAAGAGAGAAAATTTCCTTTGGGTATGAAGTTGGATTCTCAGACTTTTCTACACCTCCCCTGACTATCAAAAACTAGCGCTTAGAGGTATCACGAAGCGCACGCTCTCTGATGGAGTTTCAGACTTCTGTGACCTTATCTATAAATACTGTTGATAATTTATACTAAGAGGCATGATGACGATGTTACCATGTGCGTTAGTTACATGTTTATTAGGTGGCTGTTTCCCAGCATTAAGTATCAGCTAAGTCATGGTCAAAATCCTCGTGGGAAATGGAACACTATTTGGAGAAACTAGGGGAAAGACAAGTGTCAGTCATAATGTAATTCTGAGTATTCGCCGTTGAGGTAAAAAGTGCAGGGCAGAGACTTAGTAATGTTCTTCCAAATGGTCCCCCATTACTTTGTAATAAAATGGTTTGGGGGTTTTTGTTGTTGTTAATCCTCATATGGGGATATTTTTTCCATTGCTTTTCAGAGAAACGGGGAGAGGGAGAGAGAGAGAGAGAGGCATCAATCTGAGAGAGACACATCACTGCTCACCTCCACACGTGCCCTGACTGGGGGTGGGGAGCAGACCTGCAACACTTTGGTGCAAGGGCCAAAGCTCTAACCATGGGCCACACCGGCCGGGGCTAAAATGGTTTGGGTTTTGATGAAGCCTATGCTGTTACTAGAGCCAGCTTACAGGTGACAGTCACATTTAATTCTTTCTTACTTGGCAGTTCTTTTGTAATAGTCTTTTTAACTATGATATATGTTTATGCCCGTGGAAAGCCTCTCCTTTCCAAGCATCCCTGCCTGCAGTTCCCTCTCCTTGCAGCTTCTTTCTTGGAAGCCCAGATATATATATATATATATATATACTCTCCAACCACTAGCTATTCGCTGTACTTTCCATTATTAATTCAGCTATTTTATTTTATGTTAACCTCCTCTCAGGAAGGGTTTGTTATCACAAATGAGACTAGTCTGAAGAGCATCAGTAGTTAAACCATGAAATTAAATGAGAAAGTTCATTTTTCATTTACGTAAATGACGGCTTACTGAGGTCAGCTTCCATTGGCTAGATTCTCATCCCACTCAGCCTAAAACTCTCTCCTTCCTTTCGGATACATTATTGGAGACTTGATAGGCTTATTATACTTCTGTCTTAACATGTCAGCCTACACAAGGAAGGACATTGCTTTACTGTGCATCTGTCTATGTCCTTCCAAATGAAGGCACTGTGTCAGCACACACTAAGGGAAACGTTAAACCATAGCAATAAATCAGTGGTGGAAGCAGCACCAACTCAGGCCCCAAATTTACAAGCTAGGTGACTAGTCCATGGTGAATGTCCTGGTAGGGGTTTAGCTTGAGGATATCAAAATCTGCCCCCACATCAGGGTCGGGGACAGTAGATGGGAGGGAGCAATGAGGGCTGCCTCCGGGTTCCTCAGTAACCCCTCTTCAGAGGTCTTTGCAGGATTTGTGCAGCATTTGAAAAACCTGGCAGCTGGACGTGACATCTGTATCCCCTCATTTGCTTTTTAATGACAAAAATTTGTTGCTGCTTGTTAGAGGCCGAGAGCTGTATGATCATTGAAGTTCCTGCCATACAAAGGGCGCTTGAAAGTACGTGGGAACAGAATTATGTGTAAGCACACATTTTTTTCCCCATTGCTTTTTCAGAGAAAGGGAGAGAGAGATAGACAGACATCAATGTGAGAGAAATACACCAATTGGTTGCCTCCTGTACGCCTCTAGCCTCAACCAGGGATCAAGCCTGCAACCCAAGTATATGCCCTTGGGCATAATTGAACCTGGGACCCTTCATTCCTCAGGCCAACGCTCTATCCACTGAGCCACACCGGCCAGGGCAAGCACACATTTGATACCTGCCATCTGATTACGGGTCCTACTGACATGCTTTCTTTTCTCCTGTGCAGCGGTGATAATTAGGTAAATAAGTCAAAAGCCACATTTTTAAAAATTGATTATTTTAACATTAGAGCCTGAAATAGGTCTTTTTCCAACATTGGGTAAATATGTAACCACAGAAAAGTGAGAGTTTAAAACAGGAAGCAGTCCAGGTAATAGGATGCAAGGGCCAGAGTAATGTTCAGTCGAATCACGTTTATTACACAGTTACGGGCAGCCTCTTCAGTTTACCCAGGTTGATGTAGACTTTGAACAAATAGGAAGATGAGCTGCCATCTGAGAACACTTGGTGGTGTGGCTGTTAGTAGACTCCAGAAGTTTCTTTTGGCAGATGGAGATGGACACATGGATCACTTACTCCCAGGCTGTGAAGATAAAAGCTGCCAGAAAAGCGCCATCTACTTAGTGAGATCCGGAGCAAAGCAGGTACGTTAGCTCGTTTTTAATGTGAATAGAATCACGGTCTTGAAAAACAGTCTTCAGAGGTTAGAAAAGATAACCTGAAGCATCGGAACAGAGAGAAACCAAAAATAAATTATTGACTTCCTCACTTAATGAAATGCACTTCAGTCTGTTTTTTATTGGTTTATTGAGGGGAAACTGCCATTATTATCCTTTGTGGTGAAGAAAGCCCGTTCTCGATCCTGTACGTAAGTGACCTGTTAGCATTTCGTGCGCGGGGAAGGTGAGATGCACTGTGACTGCAGAGCACCCTGTACATGCCGTTCCTGCTTTGAGGCAATGCCAAGGTCTGCTCCATCCTTTCCCACTGGCTCCCTGGCCTGCAGGTGACCAGACAGGATCCGGTAGCCCCAGCCAAGGGCAACCGTGGACGTGATCGGCCATGACATTGAGTTTCTCCATGTGGATAGCACCTGGCAGGAAGCCAGTAATCGGGTAGAATCAATCTGTTTTTTCTATTTGGGGGTAAAAAAGATGGAATAACATACTGACTTTTATAGCCCTTAGAGTAGAAACATCACATTTTATACTAAGACAGTAAAGGAAAGTCTTCACAGACAACAGTGTGGTGATGACCAGAAGGAAGGGAGGGAGGTGGGAAAGGGTGGATGGGGGACGAGTGGTGCTGGAAGGAGCCTGACTTGGGGTGGTGAGCACATAATACAATATATAGGTGATGTGTTATGAAATTGTACCCCTGAAACCTATATAACTTTATTAACCTGTGTCACCCAATAAAGTCAATAAAAATTTTTTTTTAAAAGTCTTCGTATAGTCAGCATTCTAAAATCATTTAACTATTACACTCATAAGTTTTATTACCTTGAACTTTTAACTTTGAATCACTGAAAACATGTCAAATAGCACCTCATCTGATTCATAGCTAGCTAAGCAAACCTAGTAATGGTAGCCTGTCTCCAGGTGGCAGACCACTGACTGCAAGAATATCTTCAAATTATACAGTCCTCTCTCTGGGAAGACAGATGTCACAGTGCTTTGGTGACTGTTAAAGAAGTCACATTAATGAAACACTTTTTGCTTTTCAGACCCTAATGCATTTCCTTCACAGGAATACTTTAGTCTCATCAGTGAACTATCAGCCTCTTTAGAACTTGGCATTTTATGAAATTTCCCATCTTCCAAAACAAAACCAACTATTATTTTCAGTCAAGTGGAACATTAAAACATTTTTATGATATTTAATACTTCTTTGCTTTACAAAACATTGAGAAAGTGATTAAAGATAGAGACAAGTTTTGAAAACAGCTTGTTTTCTGTAATGTGACTTTGTTTTTCTTTTCCCATGGTAAATTATGCTTTCTTTGGATAACCTAGAGCATGTTCTAGATACCCTGTGTACTAAATATTTTTCAAGAAGCCATTTTTAATGTAGTTCACCTTATAAGAAAAAACATCTGTAGGTGTGTTTGGCCTGCCATTTCCAGCCAGCTGTGCCTGGTTCCATCTGGGTGTCTCCAGGCTACCTGCCAGCATCCTTGCTCTTAGCTAGCTGGGGGCACATCTCTGATTTTTTTTTTTCTATATGTCTTTATTGATGTCAGAGTGAGGAAGGGAGAGGGGGAGAGAGAGAGAAACAGCAATGATGAGAGAGTCATTGATTGGCTGCCTCCTGCATGCCCCCTACTGGGAATGGAGCCCAAAATCTGGGCATGTGCCCTGACCAGGAATCAAACCATGCTCTCCTGGGTCATACGTCAATGCTCAACTACTGAGCCATGCCAGCCAGCCGGGCACATCTCTGATTTTAATGGCATCTTTTCCGCTCTTTAGATTTTCAGTGTGCATTGGGTTATTAACAGGGAAGACTTGGGCATTCAGAAGAGAAAGGAATTTCCAAAAGCTTATTTTGAAATCAACCTATTCCCTCTGTTCATTATAATTAATATAAAAATAAAGAATTTACTGAAATTATAGCTTCCGGCTCTTTGGGCGACAAGCTCACTCTCCTGGGCAGGCAGAACTCATCAGGGCTGGTGTTTGGCTCTGAGGGTGATGGCTGAGTCACTGTCATGTGTCAAGGCCGAAGGAGAGTGAGGCTGTCCAGAGAGGACTTCATCCTGGTCCAACTTTCTTCTTAAACTGGTCCTCCTGAAAGGACGTCACTATTAGGTATTTCAGTTTGCTATAATTTTTTAAAATATTCATTTGAGGTTATATTTCTAGTCATCACAGATTTTTAAATGAGCAATTCAGCTATGTAATTATTAACATCATTTTAACCCTAAGAGCCTGTGGTTCTGTGGAAGCTTTCTAAGGCTCTGTGACATGCAGTGAGAAGTGACCAGTGATATGTTTTTAGAGAGAACTTTTCCCTAGAGTATCAGTTACCTGTTCAACAGAGTACCTGCCCTACTGCAGACGTGAAGCATGAAAGTGTGGTGATGTTTATCTTGAGGACTTGTAATGGATCACTTGTTTTGCAAATGGTGAGGTTTTTTCCTAAAATGACTGTAAAATCTCATCTTTTTTTCCTGTTCCTAGTGGGTTCCAGTCTTACAGGATTTCAGCAACAAGGGCACACTCTGGGGCTTTGTACCATTTGTGCAAGAACAGCGACCAGTGGAAATACCACTTCCAATTACCCTTCACATCGGAGACTACAACATGGATGGCTACCCGGATGCTCTTGCCATACTGAAGAATACATCTGGAAGGTATGGAAATTAAGTCAAGTAGAAATGTGCATAAAACATCATCACTGTGACACTTCATAACTGAGTATCACCCAGATGTGGTACAGTCCCTTAAATAAGAAAGAAGACCAGCTCAGGTCCTATTTCTTTACATGGTCTCTGAACTTCTCCCAGCTGCTTAGAACACTGTTCTTTTTCACAGATTTGTTTTCTATAGAACAAAAGTGGACATCTAATATAAAGTAAAAAACATTTTTTATTCAACAAAACTTGATCTTTAAAAGGTCAAAAGTTTTTGATAAACAAAAGACCCATTATATTTGGAGGCTGAAGAATGTGGTGGTTAAGAGCTATGCCTAGGCTCTGACGTCGGCCCAGCCACTTACCACCTGTGTGACCTTGTGCAGATTAGCTAAACTCCTCGTCTCTGAGATGAGAGGGGTAACTATACTTCTGTTGTGGAGTTGTAGCGAAGATTAAATGAGGTAAAAATAAGTGAAGCCGTTACCATTGCTAAGGGAACTAGAGTAAGAACAAAGCCCAAAGTGAATAGAAAAAGGGAAATGATAAAGATTAGAGATGAAAGAGACTGAAAAATCCCCAGAAAAGATCAGTGAAACTCAATCAGAAATGAAAGAGAAGTGATGCCACAGAAATACAAAGGGTTGTAAGAGAGTACTGTGAACAGTTACACACCAACAAACTGGACAACTGAGAAGAAATGGGTAAGTTTCTAAAAACAGAATCTTCCAAGACTGAATTAGGAAGAAACAGAAAACCTTAACAGAGCTATTACTAGAAACAAAATTGAATCAGTAATGCCCTAGCTGGTTTGGCTCAGTGGTTAGAGTGTTGGCCAGAAGACTGGAGGATCTGGGGTTCAGTTCCGGCCAAGGGCATGTGCCTTGGTTGCAGGCTTGATTCCTGGCCTAGGTCAGGGTGCATGTGGGAGGCAACCAATCTGTCCGTGTGTCTCTCTCACATCGATGTTTCTCTTTCTTCCTTCCACTTTTCATTGGAAAAAATCCCCAGGTGAGGATTTTTTTTAAAAAATTGAATCAGTAATAAAAAAATCTCCCCCAAAACCAAAATCCAGAACCGGACAGCTTCCCAGTTGAGTTTTACCAAATATTCAAAGAATTAAGACCTATCCTTCTCAAACTAGTCTAAAAATTAAAGAGATGAGGAAGCTTTCAAACTCATTCTACAAGGCCAACATTACCCTAATACCAAAACCAGAGAAAGACATTACTAAAAAAGAAAATTACGGGCCAATATCTCATGTGAACATAGATGTAAAAATCCTCAATAAAATATTAGCCAAACAAATTCAGCAATACATTAAAAAATCATATACTGTGATCAAGTGAAATTTATTCCAGAGACACAAAGATGGTTTAATATCCACAAGTCAGTGTCATATACACCCTAAGTGGAATGAAGGGTAAAAATCATGGCCATCTTAATAGATGGAGAAAAACCATTTGAAAAAACTCAACATCCGTATATGATAAAACCTCTCATTGCAGTGGGTATAGAGGAACATACCTAAACACAGTAAAGGCCGTATGTTACAAACACACAGCATCACACATGACGCCAAACGAAGCTTTCTCTCTCAGATCAGGAACAAGAAAAGGATGCCCACTCTCACCACTCTTATTCAACATAGTATTGGAAGTCCTAGCCACAGTAATCACAAGAAAAAGACTTACTTGCTGGCATATTTGTTTAGGCCCATAATTGGTATTTCAAAAATGGTCCTCTGAAATACAAAACAGCAGTTGAAATGTAAAGGAGAGGCCTGGAATTCTCACATTCCAAGAAAATACATACATTATTCATTCTAAGGTCTTTCAGGAGGTGGACAACGAATGTCCGCTACCCAGAGCAGAATAACTTATTGATACCTGCTCAGGTACATGTGGGAAATTTAGCAAATGACTTATGAACATGAAGGGAAACTGTTACAGTAACAGAAATGCCATTGTTCTTAGGTCTTAGAAACTACTTCCCTCCCTTCAAATAAGTGAAGGTCGGAAACCAAGTAGAATACCACAGTGACAGTCACTTTTCATATGCCACGGCATCTGAAATAGGATTCTAAAGAGCAAAGGAGGAGGCATGGGCTGTCTGAACTCAACTCCTTTTGCATTTCAGCTGGGTATTTAATTCCCGAAGAATGGTTTCACCCACGGCAGTTTCAGTCTCTCTGTGTCTTCAACAACTTACTGTTACTATGAGTCCTCTAACATGGGAGTCTGGCTTATTAGTGATATTTGCTATAAATTTCCATCATCACAGGTGTGCCATTACTTTACAGTTTTAAAGCCATCATTATTTCAAGAACTGAGAATTTTCTCTCACCTCCCAGTCAGGATAAGAAGGAACTCTGGATGATGAGGTGAATGGGTGAATCTTGTGGGTCACATGGGGGTCACTTAAGGCCAGAAAGACCTGACAAGGAAAAAGTTTTCCGTTTCATAGAAGCACTAATTAATTGTGTTACATCTGCTTTTTCTTTCAGTGTTAATTATCTAAATGTTTTGTCCTCTGCTTAATGAAGGGTTTAATAGATGATTATGTTACATTCCTGGTTTAATCTTATTTTAATGCGTTTTCATTGATGGGATAATGCCCTTTCTTTAAGGTACATAATTATCTTAACTCAGCGTGTTGTCAAACTTTCCCAGAAGATAAAATTGAAATTTAAATGTGGTTAGTTCTTTTGCCGCACAGGTATTCTAGCACGTAGAATTTCCTACCTTTCATGAAATAATGAACATTTTATAGAAATTGGTTTTAGAATATGGTGTAAACACAAAATTACGGCTGGTGACAGGGCACATTTGTATTCCTTGATTGACTTTCATCGATATCCCCAACTATAAGTGACTATGACTGATGTTTATCTAAACATAATACACACAGGTGGATCAGTCATCCTGAGGAGGCACCTTGGTAGAACAGACATTTCTTCAACAATGTTTAAAATTTAAACACTTGAGAAATCCTTCTATAAGAATGGCCTGGGTGGGGAGTGACTGCACAACAACAGCAGATCACATGGGAAGGTGTCATAGTTAGCTAACATTAAATATTCAAAAACATCACTCATCTCTAACGTTGAATAACACACGTTTCTCTCCATCACTGTAGGATGGTAGTTTTCATGATTCTGGGTGGTCGTTTTGGGGATTTTTGAAAATCTTATCTGTCTCCTGAGGATATTCCACAAGGTGGAAGCTTCAGCTCCTGACTTTTCTTCCTGTATTTCTTTTTTTTTTTTTTTTTAATATCTTTTATTGATTTCAGAGAGAGGAAAGGAGAGGGAGAAAGAGAGAGAGAGAAACATCAATGATGAGAGGGTCATCATTGATCGGCTGCCTCCTGCACGCCCCCAACTGGGGATCGAGCCCGCAACCTGGGCATGTGCCCTGACCGGGAATCGAACCCTGATCGCCTGGATCCTAGGTCGACGCTCAACCGCTGAGCCACACCCGGCTGGGCTCTTCCTGTATTTCTTTCCTCAGCAATTTCATTCAGATTTACAACACAAGTTGTCTTAACTTCGAGGCAAATAATTGTCTGCACCACATGGATGTCCACCCATCTCTTCAAACTTACCTTGTCTAAAACCAAACTTAATTGTGACGCTCCTTCTCTTCAAATCCAACTCTTCCTCATGATTTCCCTGATTACTACAAAGATGTCATTCTGGCCTCAGTCGTTGCAGCTGAGAAAAGTTAAATTGCCTTTGATCTCCCCCTGAGCAGGCGCAGTCCTTCCATAGTGTGTGTTGCAGGTGGCTTTTCTTTTCCATTCTCACTGCGCCTCCCGAGTTCAAGTACTCTCTCCTTACCCTGAATTGTTCTTATAGCTCCTCGTTGGTTTCTATCTACATGATACCCTTTCCATTTCAACCCCACCCGTCTCCTCTGGATATAGGATCTTCCCACAGCAGTTACTGCCCTCACCTTTGCCTTCAGGATCTTCTTATTCCACCCTCTTTCCCCCAGTATTTATGTAAATACTGTATGTGCAAGTCTCCCCACCCCTAAAATAATTTTTTGTCTCTATTACCTCAAATTCACCCTTGCCCTACCCTGTCTGCTTCCCCCCACTCCTGCACCTTTCGTTTAGTCCCAGTGACTTCTAATTGATTCAGAGGACATCTCTCAGTCCTCAGGTCACCAGATTCTTACCTACATTTGGCAGTTGACGACTTACTCCTAAAACTTCTGGTTCTCTCTGTAGCCTCTAACTTTTCCTGTACCGCGTCTTCTGGGAACTCCTTTGCATCTTGGCCATCTCAAGTAGTGGTGTTTCTGAGGGTTCCATTCTCAGCGCTTTGTTCTCACTCTGAATGCTTTACTCTACTCTGGCTGGTTTCCTTGCCACTTGTAGGACTTCTCAGTCCCTGTGTCTGGGCCTCACACCTGTGTATGTGACTGCCTGGTGGACCTTCCCCTGGATGCTCTACCTATGGCACCCGAAACCAGAAAGAATCTTCTCTCCCCTAAATCTGTTCTTAGTGTATCTCAGGTGGTACCATCACGTACCCAGTCACCCAAATAGAAATGTGGGAGCCACCCTGCATTTTCCATCCCTCCTTTCCTCTTTCCCATTCCTGTGATCCATCTCATCACTGCATCTTACAGTGTTAACACCTAGAGAAGAACCAGTATAACTTCCTTACCACCGTTCCTTCTGCATGTGGACTTGACAAATGGTGCTGTGTCCATGAACTTCTCACTCTACAAGTCTGAATATCCTGTTTATACCATTAACCAATTAACAGATACAGTGACCATTATATTTCGTTTTACATAATAAAAATATGAATATTCTAAAACCTAGAAAGTGTCGTAGTGGCAACCAAAGTAGCCAATATAAGGAACACCTTTGAATAAAGGTGAATTAAAACGTGACCGTCTTTCTAACCACTTAGGACAGGAACTTGGCATTCAGTCTGCCACGTGTTGCCTTTCCATCGGCCTTGCTCTGCCAGAGCCGCTTCCTCCTCATTCAGGAAGCACTGGCTGGCTGTTCACTGCCTCTCCTGTCACAGGTGATGCGAATATGTCGGGATAAATACTGCTTTGCCCAGAGCTCAAGTGCGNACTGGCTGGCTGTTCACTGCCTCTCCTGTCACAGGTGATGCGAATATGTCAGGGGATAAATACTGCTTTGCCCAGAGCTCAAGTGCANATATGTCGGGATAAATACTGCTTTGCCCAGAGCTCAAGTGCGCCTTGTTCTGAATAGCAACTTAGCACCTCTTAGGAACATTTCTAATTGTCAGTGATCTGTATCACAGACACACTTCAATAATGTTTAGTATTTGAGTGTAATCTTTGTTATATTAACTTAGCTGAGGGTTCTGCATGTACCAATGGCTGGAGCATAGGTTCCAGAGCAGCAATTCAAAAAAATTACATTCTTTTTAGAGAAGTCCTAATGGATTTATTTTTCTTCTTAATTCTTTTTTCTCCTGCGTGTAGAGCTGCCTTTCTTAAGGTTTGCGCACAGACAGGCATGTCCCCAAATCGAAGCTCTTCCTTTCATGTGACCCTAGGCTGGGAAGGAGACTGGGGAGTTAGTAGGAAGAGCATTGAGGGTGGTCTAGACACGCAGGACTGACTGGAGATGGGATGACTGAGGTGGACTCACCAGCTCTAAGAGCAGCCGGGGAGAAAATCAAACTGCAAGTTGAATGACCCACCAGCTACCTTTCTTAATGAGAAGTAGAACAGATGCAGGCAGCGTATTAACACAGTCTGTCAAGTGGTTTGTGTTGAGACACAACACCGGTTTCAGATAGCCTTTGGAAAGAAATGAAAACCAGCCTCAGCCCTGGCCGGTGTTGTTCAGTGGTTAGAGCATCAACCCACTCACTGAAGGGTCATGAGTTCAGTTCTCAGTCAAGGGCACGTACCTGGGTTGCAGGTTAAATCCCCACCCTGGTCGGGCACATGTTGGAGACAACCAATTGATGTGAGACACCGATGTTTCCACTCTCTCCGGTCAGTCTTTCTTAATTTTAGCTACTCTATTTGTAGTTTATTTCTTTATAATTTTAATTTCCGTTTCTCTAATAACTGATGGTTTTGAGCATCTGTTAATGTGATCATTTGCTTTTCATGTATCTTTATAGGTGAAGTATCTGTTCAAGTCTTTTGACCATATTTTATTTGGGATATTTATTTTCTTATTATTGAGTTTGAAAGTTCTTTATATACAAATCCTTTATTAGATATGTTGTTTGCAAATATGTTTTCTGATCTCTGGCTTGTCTTTTCATTCTCTGAACAGTGTCTTTCAAAGAGCAGAAGTGCTTAATTTTGAAAAAGTCCACTTTATCAGTTTTCTTTTATGGATTGTAATGTTTAGTGTTAGATCTAAGAAATCTTTACCAAGATTTCCTTCTGTGCTTTCTCTTAGAATTTTTAGTTCTACATTCTACATTAGGTCTATGATCCATTTTGAGTTAATATTTCTATGTAGTACAAGGTATGGATCCAAGTTCATTTTTTGCTGAAAATTCCAGCACCATTTGTGGAAAAGCCTTCCTTTTTCCACTCAGTTCCCTTTGATATTTGGTGAAAATCAATTATGTGTCTCAGGGGATCCTTTTCTTCACTCTCTGCTATTCTGATGACCTCCTCTCCACGGTTGCAACAGGACCACAAAAATGTTTCCATTACTGCTGGCTTATAATGAGTTTTTAGTGAATTCAGATAGCCGAAGTCCTCCAACATATTCTTTCCAACATTATTTTGTCTAGTCTAGGTTCTTGACATTTTCTTTGAATTTTAGGATCAAGTTTGTAAGAAATTTTTAAAAAGTGCCACGCTTTTGACTGATACTCCATTGAATCTGTAAATAATATGGGGGAAATTGACATCTTACAGTATTGTCTTCTGACCCATTAAGAGTGTGTGTCCTTTCATTTTAGGTCTTCAGTCTTTCTCAGCAGCACCCTATAGTTTCCAGTGACTGATCTTGTACATCTTCTATCAGATACCCAAGTATTTCTCCCTTTTTTGATACTGTTATCATTGGTACTTTTTTATTTCAATTTCTGTTTGCTAGTGTATAGAAATACAATTGACTTTTGTATATTAATCTTGCGTGCCGCCGCCTATCTCAACTTATTAGTCCTAGTAGGGGTTTTTTTTGGTAGATATTATGGGATTTTCTAAACAGGTGATCAGATAATTTATGAATAAAGCAGTTTATCTCTTCCTTTCCAATCTAGGTGCCTTGTGTTTTTCTTGCCTTTTTGCAGGGGCTGGAACCCATAGTGCAGCATTGCATGGAAGTGGTGTGAGCCACCCTTGCCTTGCAGGAACAAGGGTCACAGGGACAGCACTCAGCTTCACTGTTGGTGTGAGGGTCGCAGCGGCTTGTCTGCAGATGCCCTCTGTCGTGTTGAGAAACTTCCTTCCAGTCCTACTTTGCTGAGAACTGGGATAAGAAATGGATGTTTGGTTTTATCAAATATTTTTCTACCTTAAGTGAGGTGATCATATGGTTTGTCTTTTTAGTTTATTAATCTAGTGAATTACATTCATTTAAAAGTATTAAAGCAACTTTGCACCCCTGCAATAAACCCAAGTTGGTCATGATTTTTATCTTCTTTATACACCTGAAGTCTTCACTTTGCAACGTTCTTAGTCCACTGAAATACGTCTATTTCAGAACCATATCTTCCCTGTGCATGGTTCCATGGTGTGAGGCAGAGACATGGTTCCAGATTGCACACGTTTTAGTGAACACTGGTGTGCAAAGCAAATTCTTACTGTGTTGTTAGGTTTGATTTACTGGAATTTTGTTCAAATGTTTTGCACCTATGTTCTTGAGGAATTCTGGCCTGTAGTTTTCTTGTGATGTCTGATTTTGATGTGTTGGAGCTTCATAAATGAGTGGGAAGTACATCTTCCTCATCTGTCTTCCAAAGAGGTTGTGTAGAATTAGTATTATGTCTTCTCTAAATATTTGGTAGAATTCATCAATGAAGCCATCTGAGCCTGGAGTTTTGGGGGGGTTTTAAGAAGGTTTGAAAGTACAGTTTCAATTTATTTTTTTTTAGTGAACTTTGGTAATTTGTGACTTCCAAGGAATTTATTTCATATAATTTGTTAATTATATTGGTGTAAAGTTTTTATAACATTCCCTTACTACTCTCTTAATACCAGTAAAATCCGTAGTTATGTCGCCTCTCATTCCTGCTATTTCTACTTTCTTTTCTCTCTTTGTACTGTCGTTTAATGGCCATTCCAGTTGATGGTTTATCAGTTTTGAAGTTGTCCTTTCCAAAGAACCAGCTTCTGTTCTGTCGATTCCGTCCTGCTGTTCTGTTTCCTGCTTCATTGCTTTCCTCTGTTACATCTCCTTCTGCTTGTTTCATATTTTACTTGCTCCTCTGTTTACAGTTTTCTGAGGAAGGAACTAAGGTCATTGATTTGAAACCGTTCTTTTTTAACAAAGTGTTTAGTGCTGTAGATTTCCCTCTGAATCCTGTTAGTGACACACCACCAGTGTCAATACGCTGCATCTTCATTTTCATTCTCTTCAAAGTCCTTTGTAATTTCCCATTAGATTCCTCTTTTACTCATAGATTATTTAGTGGTGTTTCATTTCATTTCCAAATTCTCGGGGATTTTCCATATGTCTCTGTTTTTGACTTTTTTCCAGTTTCATGAGAGATGATTGACATACTTGTGTAAGTTGTGCAATGTCATGAGTTCAACACCTATATATAGTGAAACGTTTACTACATTAAGGTTAGTTAACATTCTTCAACTCACATACTTACCATTTTCTTGTTTTTGTTGTTCTGGTAGGATCATTAAAGTTTTACTCGCGTAGCAATTTCAAATAGACAATACAGTGTTGTTAGCTACAGCTAGCGTGGGGCACATTGACACATCTGTTCCTAACTGCCTGCCCTTCGTCTTACAGCAACCAGCAAGCCTTTCTCCTGGAGAACGTCCCCTGTAACAATGCAAGCTGTGAGGGGGCACAGCGAATGTTCAGAGTGTACTGGGAGCTGACGGATCTGAATCAGATCAGAGACGCCGCTGTGGCCACCTTCTTTGACATTTATGAGGACGTGAGTTCGAGCGCTCCTGTGTGCTAGGGTCTGATTGGTCTCAACCATGTCTCCCTTTCACGTTGCCAAGTTTGACCAAAAAATGTAGACGAGATCCTGAAGGCAAATGAGTTCTTTAAGGAAAGCCCCTCTGACGCTGACTGGCAGAGGAAGCACATTGATTGACACCTCTGGCTGATTAGCCCAGTGAAATGAGCCAACACCCTTATCTCGTTTTGTGCATTTAAACCACTAGAGAATCATGCTCTGGGACTGGCAGGCGCTCTGTGCGCTACACACGGGAGCACAGCTGCCCAGAGCATAGAGAGGGAACTCAAGTCCCTTCGCTCGTGAGGTAGAGGGAGCACCTGTGGCCCAGGTTCTGTGCCTCTGTCTGCAGCTGCAGGTCAGCGTGGGAAAGGCCCTCAGAGCCCTGGCTTTCTCCTGTCTCCTGTGAAAGCCAGTGTACCACTCAGAAAAATAATACACCCTGATATAAAAGTGTTCATTCCAGAGTTAGTTAACAGTGTAGTCTGTAATAACCTGATTGTTTCAAAAGTTGAATGCCCACCAGACATTTGTCTCTCCCACTCCCATCTTTGCTCTTGTTTCTGTTTTTTAATAAGCGGCTGATTCTCAGTGACGGAATTATCGAGGTCCTTGTTTTCCCGTCTCTCTCTACCAAGCCTCATATTGTTTCACTTTTATTAGCAGTTTTCAAGCATAAAAGTAACTGGCAAAAAAATCTCAAGGGAATTGACTACAAATCAGTTTTTCATTTTTGTACATAAAAGATACCATAAGTGAAATTTAAATGAATGAAATTTAAAATTGTTTTTAAACCTGGGAAATAAATTTGCTATGAAAAAATCAAATAATTAACATTCTTAATATAGAAAGGGTTTATATAAACTGATATAAAACTCCCTCTTGAGAAACAGAACACAGTTTACAGAAAAAATACAGGTGGCTAACATAGGAAAAGTATGGTAAGTAGTCAACCTTGTTACGAGGCCACGGCATGGAAACTTGAATGAACACACCTTTCCTGCCCTCCAATAAAATGAGCAAAGCTTTCCCTTTCTTAGGGAAGAAACTATCGTAGGCAGCAGCAGCCAGGGCAGAAGGTCCTCTTTCTCTCCAGGTGGGAACGATGTGGAAGTCCTTTGAAATTCACTGGCCTTTAAAATTCACGCGCCTTTAAAATTCACGCAAGTAAGACTGGAGGGAAATATGCCAAAATGCTAACTGTTATCTCCAGAGATTAAAATTACCAGTGTTTTTCACTTTATTTGTATTTTACTATCCAGGGTTTTATATCTTTCCAATGATATTTTTATTTTGAACATCAAGTTGAATAAATGAGGTTTACATTTACATGATCGACATGCCTGCATTTTCAGCGCTTTCTCGGTCCTCGAGTGGTTCGTTCTTACCGCTTCTGTTTGTTTTTCTAGGGAATCCTGGACATTGTCGTACTGAGTAAAGGATATACGAAGAACGATTTTGCCATCCATGCATTAAAAAATAACTTTGAAGCAGATGCTTATTTTGTTAAAGTCATTGGTGAGTGTTTGATTTATATGTTTTTTTATTAAGTATGAGTGTGAATTCATATCATGACTCCCATTTCTAATCCAACGCATTTCAAAGGTCCTTCCAATCTTCCTGTTTGTGGATATCTCCTCTAGCAGTGAGAAACCCAGCTCCCGTTTTCCATGATACAGTTATGTGTTCACTGTTCCCTGTTCCCACCCATGCCAGCTGTCTCCTCCACTGACACCAGGTTTATCACAGAAATCCTGCACCAGTTTTGTTGTGTCTGCCTACATAGTTTATTTTCTTTGACGTGGTTATAAATGTTATTGTTTTTAGGTTTGGTTTCCACGTGGTTTTTTTTTAGATTCCCCAGAATTTTCTCCATAGACAGTCATGTCATCTGCAGAGAGGGACAGTTTTCTTCTTTCTTCCTNAATTTTCTCCATAGACAGTCATGTCATCTGCAGAGAGGGACAGTTTTCTTTCTTTCTTCCTTTCTTTCTTTCTTTCCTTCCTTCCTTCCTTCCTTCCTTCCTTCCTTCCT